AATTGCTAATCAGTTATATATGTATATATGTATATTATATATATATATATTTATTTGTTTACACTCTGATTCGGTTGGTTATAAAAAGCTCATAGAATTGGTTGGCTCATATCGGGAGTGTGCGCGCTTTTCGCTTCCATCATCTCATTTTACCTGTTGATAAAGCATTGTCGATATTATCACAAGGTTAGTTGGTTCTAAATTGCATGTTTCTCGGAAAGTCAAAAAAAAAAAAAAATGAATGAATGAATGAATGAATGATAAAATAAACAATAGGAAAATTTCAACACTAACCGCTTTTTGTAAACAATCTACACGTAGCCAAACCATCAACGTTACATAGTCCGAATCATTCTGCTCGTTCCCATCTACTCCATAATATCTTGGCTTTCATATCGTTTTTTCCGCTACAGTATCTACTACGAAACAGTTCGTGACTTTTACGAAGCCTTTGTAATTGCTGCTTTCTTTGCTTTGCTCACGCAGTATGTGGGAGATGCACCCGAGGAAAAAAAGGAAAAATTGCGAAATAAACATCAAATGAGATATCCATTTCCATGTGGATTTATCACCTATGAGCCCACAAGCCATACGCATTTGCTTTTTGTAAAGTGGGGTGTACTTCAGTATGTGGTATTTGCTCCATTAATTACCATCTCAGCATTGATCACCGAAGCGCTCGGAGTGTACTGCAGCGAGAGCATGAGTTTCCATTTTGCACGTGTCTATTTGAGTATTGTCAAATTTTTCAGCGTCACTCTCGCTATGTATGCATTGGTGAGTAATACCTCTTTACTATTTCTATTTATTCGTGTATCATGAAGACCCTCAATTATTAACCCTCCCTTTATTTTAGATCACTTTTTATGTAACCATCAAATCCGAGATCGATGATGAGAAGCCACTTTATAAATTCGCTTGTGTTAAACTTGCAAGTTGATAATTTCTCTTTTCTGAATTTGTTTCGTCCACTCTTTCCTTTCTGACATCCCTAATCATTGCGTCAAGACAGGTCATCTTCTTGACATTCTGGCAAAATTTGATTTTATCAATTTTGGCTGACGCTGGTATGCAACGGTTTATCATGCATTCAGGCTATCGGTTCTTTATCCTTGATCGCACTTTTCACTTACCACTTTATTTAATTTTACAGGAGTAATTAAACCAAGTCAATATTGGTATATGAACTGGTTTATATGATCGCAAGAAATTCTTGGGTTTAATAATTTTTTTACTCACTTATTTCCGTCAATTTCTCCTTCCCTATATCAGGACATCATCCAATATTTCCCGTGGCCTAAACGCCTTGATAATCTGCTGTGAAATGGTTTTATTCGCCTTCTTACATGTTATCGCATTTGATTACCGAAGATATCGCGACCATGGTCAAAGAAAACACACGCGTTTCCTTCGTGGTCTCAAGAGTGCATTCAATTTTATGGATGTTGTTCGTGAGATTGCGTTTATCATCAAATATGTTTGGTATTTATTTAGTGGCAAGGAATTACCCGACTCTACTAGTAAGGCGTTAAATATTTATGGGGCCATACATGCAGACGATCCAAATGCCTATACACCATTAGAAACTGTCGATGGAGAAGATACACAAGACTTGGAGGCCAAAGTATATGAGAATGTAGATGAGAATACGGAATTAAGGGAAAAGGAAAGACGTGGCTCCTGATTAAATGACGACGTTCACATATTTCACTTCATTTTATTTTCCACATGAAGCAACCTGCATTTTATGAGTTTTATTTATAATCCTTTTCATCTATAATGTCACAATATTTTTTATATGACGTATCTGTCTCCGACTTCATCTTCAGGGGAAACTGAATAAACATAACTTCCTACGTAATACAAGACCTCCTGTCATAATTTAAATTATCAAGTCCAACTTATGCTTTAAAAAAAAAAAAATCTGTAGAAAATAAAAAAATATATTTAAAGAAAATAACAGGTTTAATTGTACTGTATCAATGAATATGTTTAGAATACATTTGATTTATTATTCATCAATTTAACATAATCTACAAGAATTTTTCAAATGTCTATTAACCATTTCTTTTTAAAAAATTTTTATTATCAATATATTGTGTTGTTTTTTTTGTTTTTTTTATTTAATTGACATTTAAAAAAAAATAATTTTTATAAATTATATATATTTGAACCATAATGAATATTATACAGTATAAAAATTTATAAAGTTGAAAGTTTTTATTGTTATTAAAATTATAATCCATATATTTATTACAAAATACTGCAACAATTTAATATTAATTTAATATTTATTTTGTAATAAAATATTTAAACTATAATATAATGGAAAATCTTAAAAAATCTTAATTTAATATACTGTATAAATATGAAAACTTTCAAATATACTATTTACTGTATTTGTAAATTTTCTTATGAACTATATTTTAATCAATATATAAATTTATATTTCTTTATTTATAACTTTTAATTTGAAAATATTATATATATATTTAAATGTTTTTTCATAAAAAAAAAACCAATAAATTAATAAAATCTATTATTTAAGTTTATTTAAATAAATAATTTTGATTAATTTTTTTATTTAATAAAAAATTAAAATATTATATAAAATTATACTTAATATCTTTTTTATATTTGATATTAATGATTGAATTAACATATTATTTGAAAATTTAGTTCTTTTTTACAATATTATTTACAAATTAATATATCGTATTATAAATAATTTACTATTTACAAATAGTAATAAATCAAAATTTTATTATTATAATATTAATAAATCAAAATTTTTTTAAAATAAAATTATAATTAATATTATTTTTTATTATTTGTTTTTAATTGTTATTTTTTTTTAAAATCAAAATAATTATTAATTGATAATATTACAAATAATAAAACTAATATACTGTATATCTATTTTAATATAAAATTTTAACATTAAATTTAAATTTTATAGAGATCAATTAATAACGTATAAATTCTATTATATATGAATTTATATTGTTAAAAAGTAAACAAATCAGTTTTGTTTATAGAAATATTAAAATTATATATTATTTTATTAAATATTTCAATTACTAGTATAATACTTATTAGATTTTATATTAATATTAACTTTTATTTAACTAAATAATAGAATGTAGCCTTTTATATTAGTTTATTAGATGTATCTAATTTAATTATTTATAAGTAAACAATATTATATTTGATAATAGTAATTATATCAATCTTTTGAAAAAATAAAACATTTGTCTTTTTTAAAAAAAATTGTTATTTTTTAATATAATTTTTAAAAAAGAAAATTAATAAAAACAATAAAAAAAAAGATAATATTTTTTAAAAAAAAAAAAACTTAAAAATAATTAATAAAAAAAATAAAAATAAAAAGATAAAAGATAAAATAATAATAATAATTGAAGACAAAAAGCAAAAAAAAAAAAAAACAATAAATAAAAACAACAAATAAAAGAAAAATAATATATATATATAATATAATATTTTTTATGGCTCCAACTTTGCAGGCCTCTCAGTTCACTTTTTCCAAAACGCATCAAGTTTCCTTTTTAGGAAGGTGAAAACAAAACGTTCGCAAGAAAGATATTCAACAACCACAGGAGCCAAGGGACTCCTACGAACCCTCCCAACAGATCAGAATGAGCTTTAAGATATGAAAAAAGAGTAGGAAAAGAATTTATTCCTACCAGAGCACAACCCTACGCAAAGAAGCCCAACACAACACCTGGAAATAAGAATCCAACAGCAGCATTGTCGACCACCCATAAAACACCTCACCAGCAACAAACAACCAAACCAGAGAAGGAAACAGAACAACAAGCAGGCACAGAACAGACCC